GATGGTCAAGTCTCTGGGAAACGCAGTCTCTCTCAATAGTTTGAGTTGTCTCTTATTTATAAGTTTGTTAATGATGTTGGGATCATATCCATTATTGAATGCTATTTGTTTAAGGGTGTTAACTTCTGTATGATAGTTGGATTGTGATAGTGGAATTGTTAATAATCGGTGAATGTAACTATGGAATGCTGCATATTTGTGTGACATTGGGTGGTTGGAAAACAAAGGTATGATATGGTCAGTTTGTGTTGGTTTCCTATAGATACTGAAATCGAAGTGGTCGTTTAATCTGGTGATGGTAAGGTCAAGAAAATTAATAGATTGAGATGATTCTAGTTCCATAGTGAACTTAATGTTTGGGTGGATTTGGTTTAATTTAGAGAGTAATAGATCAGCTGAATTTGAGTTACCTGATATGAAGACTAAGCAGTCATCAACATATCGAAACCAATGGAGAATTTCAGGATTTTTCATAATGTGTGTGGATTCTAAGTGATCCATAAAAATATCAGCTAAGAAAGGGGAAAGGCAACTACCCATGGCTAAGCCATCAGGTTGTCTGTAAAATTTACTATTGAAAACAAAAAAGTCTTGAGCTAGACAAGTTTGTAATAATTGAATAATTGAGTTAGTGGTAGACAAAGTGATAGAATTTGCTCGAAGAAGAGACTGGACCAGATTAATAGTTTCTTGTTTGGGGACTGAAGTAAATAGATTGCTGACATCAAATGAAAGCATTGTGATGTTAGGATGAAGATTTATTTGTTGAAGATTGTTGAATGAATGAACTTTTTTGTTGTTTTCATTAACAAAATCAAAGCCACCAATAAACTTTTCACAGAATTTCTCTCAGAACATGACGCTCCATATTATAAAATACCTAGTAACCCACTAACACCCAGATTGTATGGTTTACCTAAGATACATAAAGAGGGCATTCCCATTCGTCCCGTTGTTAGTTTCATAAACACTCCAGTTTCTATTTTGTCAAAATTCATATTGAATCTCATTAACAACATGACGAACTTTACCCCTCGATTTGCAGTCAAAAACACTATTCATCTAGTCAACAATCTTCAACAAATAAATCTTCATCCTAACATCACAATGCTTTCATTTGATGTCAGCAATCTATTTACTTCAGTCCCCAAACAAGAAACTATTAATCTGGTCCAGTCTCTTCTTCGAGCAAATTCTATCACTTTGTCTACCACTAACTCAATTATTCAATTATTACAAACTTGTCTAGCTCAAGACTTTTTTGTTTTCAATAGTAAATTTTACAGACAACCTGATGGCTTAGCCATGGGTAGTTGCCTTTCCCCTTTCTTAGCTGATATTTTTATGGATCACTTAGAATCCACACACATTATGAAAAATCCTGAAATTCTCCATTGGTTTCGATATGTTGATGACTGCTTAGTCTTCATATCAGGTAACTCAAATTCAGCTGATCTATTACTCTCTAAATTAAACCAAATCCACCCAAACATTAAGTTCACTATGGAACTAGAATCATCTCAATCTATTAATTTTCTTGACCTTACCATCACCAGATTAAACGACCACTTCGATTTCAGTATCTATAGGAAACCAACACAAACTGACCATATCATACCTTTGTTTTCCAACCACCCAATGTCACACAAATATGCAGCATTCCATAGTTACATTCACCGATTATTAACAATTCCACTATCACAATCCAACTATCATACAGAAGTTAACACCCTTAAACAAATAGCATTCAATAATGGATATGATCCCAACATCATTAACAAACTTATAAATAAGAGACAACTCAAACTATTGAGAGAGACTGCGTTTCCCAGAGACTTGACCATCAAAACTCAGTATTTTTCTTTGCCTTACCTTCAAGAACGTCTTTCTGGAGATCTTAGATACATCCTAAAAAGATCTGTTGAGAATACCCACATTTCTTTCAAAGTCCCGAACAATCTAGGACAATGCTTAACTAATACAAAAGATCCCATCAACTACATGGATCGTAGTGGCGTTTATAAATTACAGTGCTCTGATTGTGATGCTACATATATAGGTAGAACCTGTAGATCACTAACTTCTCGTTCCTTAGAACACACTAAAAAAGAGAACACTTCCACCTTCTCTCAACATCTTGCACAACATAAACATACCCTCAACATCCCAGAAGACGTCTCTTTGTTACATAATATTCCCCAAAAAAATTTTCTAAAATTAGACCTATATGAAGACTTGGAAATAGTCAAAGAAAAACAAAAAAGCCCCAATTGTGTTAATCGCCATGTATCTTTCAACCGTGACTTTCAACCTTTACATCGTCAACTTTTTTCATAGTCCACACTTCACAATACTGTCCTATTTTCTTTGCCTTATTTTCCTATACAAACGTCAACACCTTATTCCTACATAATCTTGTGGTTCTTCAAACACCCCTTTTTATACAATATCGTCACACCTTCCTCTCACAAATTTCTGACCCCAATTTTAACTTCAGAACCATCCACATCCACCATACCAACATTTCACTATCTTATCTCTTCACTCACTTCACTCTTCACTCACTTCACTCTTCACTTCTACATCGTTTTCCTGTTAATTTTGTTCTCTTTCATTATTTCTTGGTCAATTCATATATTAAACATGTATCCAATAGTTTTAATTTAGTAATCACTTAAACATTATCTAACAATTTATTAAAATTCATAATCTACCATATTACATAGAATCCTAATCTACCTTTGTCCACCTTCTTTCGGTCAACAACTTAGTAGCACACTTATACAACAAATTTCAGGTTTCTACAAACTGAATTTAATACCACCTAAATAGATTTTGTTCAGGGTGCTAGATACTTTAAGTATAAAGGACCCCTATTATCTCTAATTGTTGATCAACTCCTTTTCTCCTTCAACCCCCCCCCCTCCTTTCATTTCTTTTACTTTCATTCTCATCAGTCTCTGAGGAACCCAGTCTCTTCGATTTTAAATTCAATCACATATGTTACTACTTCAATATCTTCAGCCTGTAGATTTCCATCTTACTAAACTTAATTTTATTAATTCTTCACCATAGGAGCATTCCTAAATAAAGTCATTTAAACATGAGGTCTGATATTAGCTTCAAATATTTGTTATTTAATTTTTTACCTTGTCCTAGATGTGTTAAACATAAAAGGATAAATTTCACAAATACAAGCTAACCCAAAAATTAAATACACTTTAGACCACATTCCATACGACGAAAAGCAACATAAGTTGCCTAAGGCACAGGTCATTATATTAATCATGACTATAAAACCATCATTGATTTGACATCTTTTATACCCTAAATTAATAAATAAAAAGTTTTTAAATCCCAACACCTAGATTGTTGTTATTTTTAAAATCATCAAAACTTGTTGAATCTTTTGGCTGTAGTAATACTATGTACAACTTTTATAGGTTTTGTTGCATTGACATTCTGTTATCTTCATCCTTCAAAGTATCTTGTCAATCAGTTCCACGTTGTTCTCCGAGTGCAGAGGTTGTCTCTCGCCCGGCTCTGGAACCCATTTGAGCCATGTGTTACCTTTGGTCAAATTTAATTTAATATATAACATCACAGTTATTTTATAACACAATGTACAACATTTCATAACTAAATGTAATTTAAAGGGTTTTTACCCTAATATTTTGGTGGCTCAGGCATTATGACCTAGTAAGTATAACCATCTTTTGCTTTTCAACCTTAGTCAAAATTTCAAAATCTCGTTTGTTTTAACTAAATGGTTTATACTTATTTTTAGGCATTTTCGATTTTAATAACCTGATGATGGACTGTGTAGTCCGAAAACGTTTGTTCTATTGATGTGGCCCTTTTAAGGGTTTTTTAAATAAATATACCCATTTACAAAGATTAACCTCTTTTTGTTATACGTGGTATACAGCCAGCTACAGGAATTTTTTCCTTGTGGATTTTATTTATTTAAGTGGTTGTTGCCTTTGTGGGCCACTGTTATATTATGTTTGGCTAAAAGATTTGTTAGTTGTTCGAATAAACCTTTTATATATGGAAGAGTTGTATAAGTAGTTTTGATACTGTTGGGTTTGTTGTTAGTTATATATATTGTTATAAAATTTATTGAGTCTTGATTTGAAAATATTTTCGATTGTGGCCTTTGGCTATTTTGATACAGTTGGCCTGTATTCTGGATCTGTTAGTTGTATAGATTTATCAGCGACACTTATAATTACAGACTTCTTATGGGAAAATGGATGACGGGAATTGTAGTTAAGTAGTTAAGATATCGTGAAGACCATGTTTCTTTTGTAAACCACATGGTTTTTACTGTATTGTTAATGCGATGTAAGGTGATATCCAGAAAATTTATTTTATTATTTTCTTTAATTTCTATAGTGAAATTTAATTTTGGATGGCAACTGTTGAAAATATCTAAAATTTCGGTTATTTTATTTCATCGATTTTCAGTCATCGATATAGCGGTAGAAGAATGGTACATTAAAATCTAAATGACTCATGACAGATTCTTCTAAGTCCTCCAGAACCAATGGGCAATGACACTAGAAATACTTGCACCCATTGCACATCCATCCATTTGTTGGTATATTTCGTCCTTATATAAAAAGTATGTTGAGTTTAACGTTAACTCTACAGATGATTGAAATTCTTGCAATGGGTACTCTTTTATGTCATTCCACTTCTTTTTAATGATGTCAGTGGCAAGTTTTATTGGGATGTTAGTGTACACTACAAAAATTTTTTTAAATTTAATAACATTTTACATCGTTTTTCTATTAATTGTGTTTAAAATTATATCGTAATTTATATATATATATATATATATATATATATATATATATATATATATATATATATATATATATATATATATATATATATATATATATATATATATATATATATATATATATATATATATATTTGTATGTATATACATTTATTAAATATTTATAATGGGTATACAATTTATTTTTTAGTAATTTTGGCGTCATTATTTTTGGGTGCTATAGTAGCCCCACTTGATCCAGAGGGAAGTTATAAAGAAAAGGAATTCCTTATCAAACAATTAAAGCCGAAAATGTGCTTTGTGGATTCACGAACTGTAACATATGTTCAACGAATACTACATAAATATAAATTGCGTGGAACTGCCATTAACTTTAGTGTAGAGAGCGGTGGTAAGATATTTTATTCCTATTTAGAATTTTTAAAATATTCGAAATTTCTGTTAAATTTAGAAAAAATGTAATATAAGAAAACAACCAATGTGTAATATTATTTGAATTCAGATTTACAAATCTTTAAGCAGTAGAGTAACATGTTAGAAATTTATCGGTAATTTGTAATAATCTTGAAAGAAAATGAATACATGTTGAAATAATTTTCTTTCTAATTGCCACCAATACCTGCATCTTTTCCTTTATTTAAGTAACAATATATTTACAATATCAGGTAGTATCAGGTTCGAAGGAAAATACCATAAAATAATAAATATTCACGCGCCTTCAGAAGAAAAAGATATGATGTCAAAGAATGTTTCTACAGTGAATTGAACAGAACAATCGAAAATATACCCAGAAATGATATGGAAATTATTTTAGTCGGCGCAAATGCCAAAATAAGAAAGAAAGAAATATTTAGACCGACAATAGAAAAATATAGTAAATACAATGAAACTAATGAGAACGGACAATTCCTGATAGATTTCGCAAGGAAAAAATATGATCATAATGAGCACATATTTCGAAAGAAAAGAAATACACAAGGAAACATGGATATCGTCAGATAGAAAGACTAAGAGCCAAATAGACAACGTGCTCATCAAAAAAGAAGAACAGCAATGTATGAAGAATATAAGAACATACAGAAAACCAGATGCTGACTCAGATAACATGGTGGGTATTAAAATTAAGCAACTGATACCAGAAAACAAAAGTAAAATAAAAGAAAAGAAATGTATAAATAACCCAATTAGATTAGCAAAAAAGAAAGAGCAAGAAATTTACGAGGAAACAATGAAAAGAGAACTAAAAAAGATACAAATAGATCAGCAAACTGAGAACAAATAAGAAAACATAAAGCAAGTAACGAACAAAGCAGCGAAAGAATGTAAGAAACAAGAGAATAAAAAGAGGTAAGACTGGTTCGACATAGAGTGCCAAAAAGAAATAGAACTAAGAAAATTATTAACGATGGAAATGATCAGGAAAGAAACAACAGAGACAAAGAATAGATATATGGAGCAAAGACAAAAAGCAAAGAGGGTGCTAAGAGAAAAAAGAGAAAACACATAGAAAATAAGCTAAAATAATTATAAGAAAATTACAGAAATAAAGAAATAAAAAACCAAGGTGCTAGAAATGAAAAAAGAGGTTTCCAACAAAAACCTATATTCGTTAAAAACAAAGCAGGAAATAATATAAGCGGTGAAGCAGAAACAGTCGAAAGATGGAAAGAGTATTTTGATGATTTACTAAATGGCAATAATAAGTCAAACCAAAGAAAATGTATGGAAGCCGAAGCAAAAATCGAACACTTAGAAGATATAGAAGATAATTTACCAAGCAAAGAATACATCGAAGAAATCATAAAAAATCTGAAAAACAATAAATGCCCTGAAAGCGATAACATAACAGCAGAGATGATTAAATATGGTGGAAAACTGCTAAATGATTGGATATACAAAATCGTAAAGGAGATATGGATAAAAGAACAAATGCCAGAAGATTGGAAGGAAGCTATTATTTGCACATTACAAAAAAAAGAGACATAACAGAATACAGTAATTACAGAGGAGTAGCGTTACTAAATATTGTATATAAAATCCTATCAAAATCCATAAAAGATAAGCTAGAGAAAGAAGTTGAAAATATAATAGGCGAATATCAGTGCGAATTTAGACGAGGGAGAAGCACAACGGACCAAGTATTCGTCATCAGAGAATTACAAGCAGAAAGCTATGAACACAACTTATCAACGATAGCGCTATTCATCGACTTCCAGAAAGCAGACGATAGAATAAAGAAATTAAAAGAGACCCTTGAGGAAATGGGAGTAAGCAGAAAGTTACGTAGCATGATATATCTTACTTTAGAGAATACAGAAAACAAAGTCAAAGTAAATAATCATTCATCGGACAAATTTATAGTAAACGAAGAGGGCAGGGCGATCCTTTGTCATCATTACTCTTCAATGTATGCATAGAAAAAATAATGCGAGAAGCGAAAATAGAGAAGGACTCCTATATCATAAAAGACACCAAGTTTTGGTATTTGCGGATGATGTAGTGTTGCTGGCAAGAGGAAAAAAGAGCTACAGGAGATAGTACAGAGAATAGTAAAAGCAGCGAAGAAAATGGGACGTTACATAAATGAAACTAAAACAAAATGTATGCAGTGGGCAGATGATCAGTTCAGGGATGGACAAAATTTTAAAGTAGAAGTAGAAGAAGGATTATCATACGAATTCGAAATGGTAGAAAGATTTACATACCTAGGTACAATAATATCACGTAAACCTAACATTAAAGAAGAAATACAAGCTAGAATAATGGCAAGCAATAGAAGTGTACATGCTCTTAGTGGAATGTTAAAAAGCAAGTTTTTATCAAAAAAGGCAAAAATAAAGTTAAACAGAACAACTATACAACCAATAGTAACATACTGCAGTGAGACATGAACAATGACAAAAAATGAACAAAATTTACTGGACATATAGAAAAGGAAAATCCTGAGAAAGATATATAGAAGAATAATAAGGGACGGTTTATGGATAAGAAGATCAAATGATGAGTTAAAGGACTTATATAATCAACCTAATATAATAGGAGTCATATAGGCACAGAAACTAAGAAAACGAGGTCACCTAGAAAGGATGCCGAAGACGAGGACTCCAAAAAGGGTACTAAACTACACTATAGCTTCAGAAAAGGGAAAAGGAATGCCAAAAAATAGATGGAATCAAAAGGAAGAAAAATATATTAAAAAAATTGGACTAGAAGGCCATAAAAGAAAAATGAATAACAAGAAGGAATGGAGAAAAATCACACATCGAGCCAGAGAAGATCTCAGTACATGAAAAACGAAAATGAAGATAGAACAAACTTTTCAAGCCATGGGCCTCTAAGGCCTTTAGTGCTGTTGTATATATATTAACAATAAGGGATTAAAGAGAAATAAAAATATCCAAAGTTTAGTATCTAAGTAACTCTGATAAAAAGTATGCTATTATACAGATATGAAACGTGAAACAGAGAAACACCAAAGGAAGATAGGAGCCACGGAAATGAATAAAATGAATATAATAATGCAAATGCTGAGGATTTCGAGAAAAGAGAGAAAACAAAAATGAAGAAATCAGGTAACTCTTAGGAATAGAAGGTACAATAATAAATAACATACAACAAAAGCAGCTCATATGGTACGGACATGTACAGCGAATGGAAAACAACAGGGTCCCGAAACAAGTAGTTGCATGGACCCCTACAGGAAGACAGAAAAGAGGAGGAAGATAGAAAAGAGGAAGACCAAAGACAACAGGGAAGGAAGGAGCCAGAAAATTAATGAGATTCATTAGACAACATTGAAAGACGTTCTTAACCGACTATATATATATATATATATATATATATATATATATATATATATTTATATTTATATATATATATATATATATATATATATATATATATATATATATATATATATATATATATATATATTATATATATATTATATATATATATATATATATATATATATATATATATATATATATATATATATATATATATATATATTATATATATATATTATATATACAGTATAGGTAAAATTTTAAGGTCGGTATGGTAAAATTTAACAGGATATCTAACGCAGATATAAAATCATATTTTCAACGAATTAGACAAAGATAACAATCATATTTCCCCTTCGTCTCCCCTCTTAAAATCCTTTTCACACTCATTGGCCATTGCCCATTAGTGAGACGATTAGTTCCGATCAGATATTCTCTGGTTCCGATCCTAATATACCTAAAAAACTAGAGGTGGGTCTTCTCGTTTTTTTAATTTTTATCGGAACCGTTTTTCGTAAACTGTAACTAGTTGATTGTTTACCAGTATTCAAATTAGCGAGTACACAAACATATTAGCTATTATCGTTTATGTGTATAAGTATTGAAATAAAAGAACCTAACGAAGGATATATTTATTGTGACTTGAAAAATAAATTAAATAATACAAATGGTACTTAAATAGTTACATTTACATTACACATTATTAAATCGCGAATCGTCTAAATTGACATTTAAAAACATAAGTTTTTCCACTTTTCTTGTTAATCGCGTTCTTCTTTTATTTAAAATTATACCAGATGTTAAACATGTGTTCACAAGGAAAAGATTTTGTTACAATACTACAACATTTTATGAATATAGTGGTTAAGTTACGATATACATGGCGATGGTTTTTTCACCACGGTAATGGACAGTTCCAATCTCCGTTCGAAATTGTTTGTGGGTAATATATCATCAGACAATTACATGTCGACTTCTTTTATACCTCTCGATACAGGTGTATGTTTAGATGAGTCATGTCCAATTAATTCATCAAAAATACACCATGGACTTAAGTCATCTTTATCAGTTTCTTTTTCTTGGACTGATTGATTTTCAAGATTTACTAAACTTTTCGTTTCATCCGTTTTCCATAGTTAAAGAACCAGCTTTTAAAAAGTTTGCAGGGTGGATTCCTGGATATAAACCGCCAACAAGAAAAACTTTGTCAGGTTCATTACTTTAGGAATGTTATGTCAAAAGTGAGCAAATTATTAGATCGCAAGTTGTTAAAGAAGTAGAAAATATCTGTATTACTACTGACCTCTGGACATCTGGAGTAACTGAGAGTTACTTCGCATTAACAGGACAATATTTAACCGAAAATTTAGTATTCAAAACTTTTTTATTAGGCTGCTGCCATTTTTCTGGAAACCATAATCCAGAAAACAGCGATTACTGAAATTATTAATCAGTCGGGTCTAAAACGAAAAGTAAATTTTGCAGTAACTGATAATTTCTAAAATATGGTCAAAGCTATTAAATATGTTTTGTTTTATGATGATTGTGATTTATGATGATGATTAAATTTATTGGTGGGGGACGCACTTAAATGCTGTCGTGTACAAATAGATAAAATAAAAAGTCCTTTTTTCGACAATTCTGCAAAAAAACACATTTCAAAAAAGTACCTTATCTTCAGAAGGGCTTTTAAAGTATTAATTACAACAGAACACAGTTCCCAAACGGCCAATCCAAGACGTGGAAACTAGGTAGAACTTCACCTATTACATGTTAAAAAGAATGACCGAGTTAGAAGAGGCAACCCGTTCCACATTGGTATTAAATAATACAGACTTAGACTTAAACCTAATCTAAATAAAGAACACTGGATTATTTGTTCTCAACTTTCCCAAATTTTACGGTCGTTTAAAGAAATAACATTTTAACAGAAATTTTGCTCCTACGCTCTTAATGATAAACTAGCACGACCCACCTCTACTTCTCGTTACTCGATCTTTGACCAGACGACTATCTAGACTAGACGTTGCCAAATAAATTAGTGTATGAATATTTTTAATTTGGCGTTATTGTATGCATGTTTAATTGTTTATTATTTCATATTGGGAAATTATTTTGATGTTTAGATTTTTAGTTCGGAAATCGTACTTAAAATACGAAACATTAATAAATTTTATTTATATAAAACGATTTCCGAAATGGAAATCAAAATGTTATATTACAATTATTGTAAAGAAAACTTGTGGCATATTCCCAATAAAAAAAACAGTAACCTACCATTTAAATCAATTTCGCCCAAATTTGATTATCTTAAGCATTTTATCTTCTTGATAGAACAATGTTCAAATGCAAAAAAAGACAACAGGTCAAATAAAACCAATAGGTTTGGCAACGTTGAATTTCCCCTTTTTTAATATTTCCATTCGGCGATATAAAGGGCGTACCTAATATACCTCTCTCTTTTTAAACAGCTGTTTCTCACTCCATCTCACGTAAGGTCCATACCGACCATAAAATTTTTCCTACACTGTACATATATATATATATATATATATATATATATATATATATATATATATATATATATATATATATATATATATATATAATGACATACGCCTCAAAAACAAGACCCGACACAGCCACAACGCAAAGGCTACTGGTAACGGCAGAGATGAGAGTACTGAGAAGAATTAAGAATTACAGAAAATATGCTTGTATTAAATTAAGCGATTTCTGTTTACATATTTCTTTTATGCTGCTCTAATTCCATTGTGGTACCATGGCTACCTTCTTTATATAGTACAGCTGGGAGATTATCTATTCTGGGTGATTTGTTTCTGACTAGTTATTAACTGCATCTTGTAACTTTAAGAATCGTTGGTGGTTTCTCTTCCCTCTCGTCTGTCTTCCAGGCTGTTTTCTTCTTCTTCCTCTATATTAAAATCCTGAGTATAATATTCCACCCATCTATTCAACTCATCTTTTCTTGTTGTTAATAGGTCGCCATTCTGACTCCTGCATTGTCTTGTGGTTGCCTTGAATTTTTTTCTATTGATGTTAACTCTTATAGAATGATCTGAATTATTTCTCTCTAATAAGGTTTTTTTATGTTTGAGTTCCTTTTTTTTTAAGCGGTTTAGTTTTTTTTGTCTATTCTCTTTTCTGTTTTTCTCTTTGTCTGGTAATTCTCTACAGTTGTTCTAGTTCGTCGAATGAGCAACTTTCTGTAGGCTTTATTTTTTATTTTGTAGCATTCTTGCATTTTCACGGGCACAAATTTCTGTTCCTATTATGTCTTTCGCTGCTGCTTCAATGACTTCCTTTATTCTGGTCCAGTAGGAGTCTATGCCTGTCTGGTGTTCTTCATTTACATTTTGATTCTTTAGCCTGTTGGTGATGTTTTTCGAGTACCGTTCTGAAATTGTTGCATCTCTCAGCTCTTGCAGATTCTTATCCATTTTATTTTCTTTACTGATGTTTGAAATTCTAGACCTCAATGTTGAGATCAATAGGCAATAATCTGTTTATGCGCCTCTATGACTTATACAGTTTATTACGTCTGTTCCATGCCTTAAATCTATTAAGATGGGATCCATCTGACTCGTTGTTCTTCCATCAGGAGAGGTCCACGTTACCTTAGGTATGTTCTTGTGTTCAAAATAAGTACATATGTATATTACCCAAAAGTATGAGTATTATGTCTGAGTCCGAAGATTCCACGGCATTGCGTATTTCACCAGAAATTTTGTGTACTGCAAAGACTGTAACCTAAGGATTGTTGCTTATCAAATCCACTGCTGCAATTTCAGCTTTTGACTTTTACACTTTTGTGCCTAGGCATAAAAGTGCTTCCGTTTTATGTCTAGGCGTAAAAGTAACATTTTTATATTGTTAATCACGTCACAAAAATTAATAATTGATAAAAAAAAATATATATTTATTAGTTATTATTAAAGATGATATGACTACCTTCTAAGGTTCTTTTGTAAATAATTTTGTGTTTATTTTCAATATTATTTAGTTTTTAATATTTTAATATTTACTTTTCAGGTATATCGGAATTCAGTAAACTGCTTCACCACAAAGAAGACGAAAAATTCCGACCAGTACATATTTCAGATACTAAAAGAACAGTTGCTTTCGTATTACCAACACAAGGAACAACGGATTTTCCAAAGCTAGTTTGCATTTCCCACGATAATATTCGATTGCAGTGTTTAATTTTCTATGAAATATTTCAAGATCTCACAAACGTTCTATCCTTTTTTCCTCTTTCTTGGTATTTTCACATTGTAACAATTTGTGTGTGCTTAGAATTTGTAGTAACCCTGATTATTCCACGACCATTTAATGAAAGAAATGGCTGTAAAATCATTCAAGATTTTAATGTTGAATGCCTTATTATTGGCACTGATTACGCAATACGGCTTTTTCATAGTTCAGCTTCTAAGGTAATTAAAAAGTAAGATTTAGTTAGAATATAGTATTATGAGTTGTTGCAAACTGTTATTTTACGCTTTACTATCATAACTAGCATGTTATTCTTCTTCCAACAAGTGTTGGAAAGACCTTGTGTCATTTCAAAACAAACTTTCTCTCACTTCATCCATTATAACTAATGAATAGTTTTTTCGAAAAAAAATGAACACAGAAGATGGATTTGGATAAGCCCTGACGGACAAACAAAACCTAAAATAGACTTCATTATTTTTATCAACAAAGAAGTAACAACCAACTTAACACTGTAAAATATTTGCACAATAAGAAGTGGTAACAGAATCAAAAACGTAAACACTAAATTGACCTCCATAACAACGAATTCCACTACGCAGAATCCGTTACAGTTGCTTTAGAAAAAATGATTTTATATATATATGATAAACAACAAATAGAGCAAAACTGCTGAAAATAATAAAAAACTCTTATATTAAACTATATACAACTAGTCAACACATACGGGACAGTCAACAACATTAGCTAAAACAAATAATCAACCAAGTATCGGAACTTATGCTGGGTACAACTCAATAAAAATTCAACCAAAATTCATTCTGTCTCCGGCTTCTATACAACATGTAGCTTCTCCTTATAAATTTTAAAGTGTTTGTTTGTCTTAGTGTATTGTATTTTGTATTGTCATGTCCAAATTTTACATTTATGACATTCTACTATGTCGGATAGGCCACAACTGACGAAATGCCCCTGAAGATGATCTATTGATCGAAAGTACTTGGGCAAGATTAAATTAATCACCGTGTTCGATAGTTGCCTTGTATACCCTCAAAGTTCAATAAAAATTGAAAAACTCGCTAAGCAAAATGAAAACATAACAAATGAAATAATCTTATCTGAGTAAAATAATGCCGTAACAGTACTTCTTCATAAAAAAGGTGATCACCGAGCTTAAGAACTACAAACCTGTAAGCGTTCTTTGTCACGTCTATAAGATATTTACCAAAATCATTTATTCAGAAAAAGTTAGGGAACCAGTGATTATCTTAAAGCAAATAAAGTTCTGATAGAAAAGTGTGGAGTATAATATAAGAAACCTTTAGTGTTTACTGATTTCTATAAAGCATTTGACATACAAAACTAACATCAATAATAGCACTGGAACATATAAAGTAATGTAAAAAAACAACAACTGTAAAACTTCATAAACTATTAAATTAGTCAGAGGAGTTAGAAACTACCATTTTGATAAAACTTTTTACATCTGTCCACGAATACGCGATGAAATCACTGTCTTAGGAGAACAAATTCATTAATATCAAAGTCGAAAGGTTAACTCAACTTTAGTTCTTAGATGACATCATTATTATTACAGACAACAACCCATAAATGCAATTCATGGGATGTTGTCTGTTATTGGCCGTTATATTGGGAGTTGGTCCGAAAAAATGCAACAAGCAAAACCGTATTAATAACAAATCTAGTACGTGCACAAAACATTAGAATAGGCGACATCGACATAAAAGAAACATCTGTGTACAAATACCTTGGGCACGAAATACAAATAAAAAAAAAAACAACTAAACGCATGAGATACAGCATGGAATAGGTTGGGGTTGGGCTACTTTTGGAAAATTACGAGAGATATTTAAGAGTAATATACCCATATGTCTGAAGAGAAAAATATATAAAAAATACGTTTTACCGGTACTGCCATACGGGTCGGAGATTAATAAAAATAAAAAAGCAGTTAAATAAAGAGTATTTTAGAGAACCATTTAAAGAGTCATATTAAGAATCACTGAAAGAAACAGAATACCCAATAACACCATCAGACAAAGAACAAAGGTAAAAACATAGTTAAACATGTAACTACAATGGGATCGAGATGGGCAGATTATGTGGCGAAAACATCGAACGAATAATTGACCCGAAGAATATGAGAACATTGACCACGAGCAGACAAACATATAAGAGGTCGACCACCAACGTGTTGGAGCTACGACGTAAAAGAATGGATAATGACAACCCAGAATCGATAGACATGGAGGAGCTTGTAGAAGGCCTACATTCAACAGTGGGCCGTAACTGCCACATGATGATCAGATCCTGAGCTCTTCTTAAAATTTCAATTTTCTAACTTATCGTAATGGCTAATAGGTTTTATTAAAAATTGGATTAAAATTATAAAGTGACACTTGCATAGACAGGCACCAGCAACCTAATAAAAATGTATTCAAATAGTTTTGGGATAGTTAAAATAGTTTAGAATATAGTGCTAAATATAATCGTATATTAAGCGGAAGTATGGTCAATGACAACAACAATATAAAATAAGGTAAGAACAGTTAAATTGAAATTTATGAGAAGATGTCTACAAATCACCAGAGAGGATAAAATAAGAACAGGAAATATGGAACAGTATGAAAGTAAAATGCTCAAATAAAAAAGAAGGAAAACAGAGGCCTGAGTGGTACGGGCATGTACCAAGAATGTCAGAGCACAAGTGGTCAAGGGAATGAGGAGCACAAGTGTTGCTGTAAGATAAAAAACGTACATAGGAACGTCAGAGAAGGTAACTGAAAGAAAAGAATGTCATGGAGGACAAAAACAACAAAATCATATTGCAAAACAACTAAAGAAAAAGAACGGCATGCCTGTGTTACTTGTCATTCATCCTAAAATCTCCTTTTAGGAGATTTTAGGACATTCATCCCTTTAACTCTTGGACTCTTAGCAATATTATTCCTTCCGAAACCAAACGCGTATCTGGAGCTCAAAAAGATTCGGAATAGCGAAAAAATAGCTTTTGAGATGTGGATTAAATAAAATTCACCAAATTAGAACTGGTAAAAGACAATGGCAAAAAGGTACGTCTAAAGAACACCAATATCCTTTTCTAACATAGATTCGCTGAGAAGTCAGGAGCGTTAACGAGTTCACCAGGTTTTATAATGATGTTAACGAAGTATTTAGGGAGCTTAAAAAGAAGGCTCGAGAAACTAATATGACTTCCGCAATAAAGAGTCGATAAAAAACCTAGGAGCTCTAACGAGCAGACTAGCCCATATATCCACATTACAAAAATATTGGTTGAAAGACACATATGCCATCTGGCACTCAATCAGATCAGTCTAAAGCAGATTTTATTGTTAAACAACTGAAACACGCAGTAGATAACACTTCTGTTGGAAGTCAGAACCCACCCAATACAAAAAGTTTAGGATAGGAATTCTGAGGGTGAATTCAGAGAGGTGAGAGCACAGATTCTAAGATTTCTAAGAAAGGGATTATGGATGTAGTGATAGCTATGGAGGACTAGGATAACTATCAGTGGTATGATGATCAAAGATGTATCAAAACACTCCTTATTCAGCAAGATGCAGACACCTACCTTGGATTTACAGTGACTCTAAAGTCTGCGAAAGGGCACATTGATATTGACACATTGACACTAGACATCCCTTCTCTGCACATCGTTATTAAGGGGTTAAGTTAGGTTCGATGTGAGTGGGTGCTTAACCCCTTCCACTCGGCCTCGTTATTAGGGGGAGAATGAGCTATTATAGATTGTCAAAAAATGTAAGTGGCACAATAATTATATTTAATCATAACAACATTAGAATGTATGAAATTAGAGATTCCGTAAGTCAAGATATCCATATTTTCATGTAGACATTTGACCACGAGAGTGGTGAGACACAGGAAATGCATAACACAGGTTGCACAGGTACACTTGGGAAAACAAGTAAGATCGGGTGCGGGAATTTTCAATAGGGTAGAAATGTAAGCATTTCAATTTCACAAGGAGAATGTACCTCTCTATTCCAGGCGGAGGTTTGTGTTATCTTGCATTGTGCATAAACAATTAACATGACGGCTTTTCAACTTAAGTAGCAGTATATGCGTAGATTTTTAAGCGACTATGCGAGCTCTTCTTCTTCATGTACCATGTTCTTTCAGAATGTTGGTTACCATCATAGCTATCTTAATTTTATTCACTCTAATTTAGACTCTAGTTTGCTAGTTTGGGAATGTTAACACTGGTATCACTCTGGTAAGAGGCCTAAAGGAATATACGGCAATGGATGATCTGATGAACTTTAAAAAGCACTATTTGCGATCGGAACTGGATCCGAATTTAACATAATTCACACTGAAAAAATATACTATCTCAAGCATATGAAAATTAGCTAAACATAAGCAAGAATCAGCACAAACCCATTACATATTTTCTTACTAGACTTGCTAATCAAAAGATATCCGCATTAAATGGGGCTGTTTCATATGTTTTAAAGATACTGCAGCTTCAAATTTGGTTAGCGATAAGTAGTTAATACAACAATAAGACACTAGAAATTAGTCGTGATGTAGAACATTCATAAAAAAAAGGAGTTTGTAGAGTGTTGTAAAATGTATTATATAAAAAAGTTATTTTTAAAATAAACGTAGAGATAAAATATAAATCAAATATAATAATTCCGAAAAATGTAGACTTGATTTTGTACAACATATAAATAAGTCAAATTGGGGTTTAGATACATAAATATGTTCATTAGATGCCATTAACATTGGTAACTGTAAGTTACGTAAAAGTAAAACTTAAGTAAAAGAAAGAATTATATCTAGATTGCCGATAATATAAAACATATTAGAAATAGTAAAATAAACACAAAAGATTGTTTTGTTTATTGGAACAACTATTGAAACAACTAATGATAAAAACATGAGTTGGGTGATTTAGTATAAGGACATTGAAATATTTTTAGGTAATATATAAATAAATGATTATGTGTTTTGCTATATTTCGTTTTGCCGATTTATTTATTTTTTAGCTCTTTCATTTTTATAGTTCGTTTATTTCTTCTTAATAATTAGTAAAATTTTCAGGATTTTAATTTGAATTGCTTAAAATCAGTTTTGATTGGCCTCAACAATACATTAAAGCACGATATATTTTCACTAAGGCAATCCATGCCAAAGGTAATGTTTCTATCCAGCTATTTCCTCGTAGAAACTGGGTGCATAGCTGCAACAAAGTCCAAAGATTACAATTCAATTATTTTAGAAAGACCAATGACTGCTGGAACCATAACATTAAACTGCAAAGTTAAGATAATTGATGTTAAGACTAAAGAAATATGTCCTCCAAGAAAGTACGGAGAAATATATTATACAGGCGATGGACTTATGCTCGGGTATGTACTTAAATATTCAAAATCCCATCAAACATACAAATACTACTATCATCTCCATTTTCAAGCAAGGATCTTTTATTATTTCAAACAAACAGAATTCAAAATTTCCATAAAAATATTATTAAATTTATCTTTTTCTTGTTTTCGATACACACCCACAATATAAATAAAATGCATAAAGTACTTTCTCAAACTTCCCTAATTTAAAAAGACAATAGCTTAATACGATTAATCGCTGTTTTATAATCTCCATATCTATGCTTTACATATGATAGGTAAGATCCAAAGAATACCGGAATAATAAAATAACATATATGATATAACATTATATATTAAAATAAAAATATATTGAAATAAAATTCACATTCAAATATCTTCAATAAAAATATCTCATATAATGATTAACAAAATTTTGTTTTACGTACCTGAACCTTCAAATTTAATGGTACATAATATATAAATTAAAATCTCAAATCAAAATTGTGATTCCAAATCTCTTAATCAAAATATTTCTATCCTTTCTAAATCAATTGTAAACATATGTGTTGTTCATACAAAAAAACTGACGAATAGTAAAACTACCTATCTGATGATGAGTTGTCCAAATCCTTGTTCCTTGTAGCCTACTCTATCTATTCTTAGCAGTCCCCTAGGTAATCAACAATCTTACAACAAATTGTTGCGAGCCTATCGTATTTAATTATCTCCTTCAAATGAACGTATCGTTCAAATGATGCTAGCCACTTCTCCTCTCTATAAACTGAATCTCTCGTTCTGGCCTGAACAGTGATTCTTGGAATATAAGTAGAAAAATATAACTTACAATATTTTAATGAATCAGCTTCTGTCAGATACACTAACTCCACGAAAAACTCACTAACATTCACTTCTACTGCTTGCTACCTCTCGGGAACCACCAAAAAACAATAACTGTTCCCCTTGCACACTTGGAAAACAACTGATTATCTTTTCTTTGTCAAAAAACTAGCTAAATTGTCATTTTTGAATAAATATCCCACTTTTTCAATCTCCTCCAATCGAAGCTCGCCACAATTATCCCCATCTCTTCATTTAGACAACAAACAATAATTTTACCTACAATTATAACTTTTCTAAAAACTATTACCATCGGTTAATCGGTTTCTACAAATTCTTAAGAACTAACGGAGAAATATATTTTCTAAATACCTATTTCATTGTCCTAATTACTGTACAAGTCCATTTGGAAAACTCACTCGCATTGTGTCTGGTTTCATTAATTTCATTCGAATATATTTAACAAAGAAAATAATTTATGCATATCTTAAATTTTGTTTACTACGGGTAATCCAAAGATAATGGACTTTCACTTCTTCGAAATATCTTTTATAGTTTATTAGTCGAATTATTTAAATTATTTTATTTTGTACTTTGAAATATATTAAGCAAACCAATATTAATTACTATTTAACTGGGAATAAGCCAATTTGATCTGCCGAAAACTCTTTGTAAATTTTTTAAAATGACATAAGTTTTCCAGGATCAAATCATTTCACTGTTATTAAAATCTACTCATGATACTGATAGATGTCGTGAATGTTAAAAATACCTTGTATATTGCCTGTCCCTATGTGCGCTAATTCATAACTATTTCCCCATTTTCCGTATTGACCCTATATGGACCTTGAAATACCGGCATCAATTTAGCACAAATCCCGTTTTGTAAATTCGACACCCTCAGTGCCCTCACTAAGACTTTATCCCCTTTCTGGAATGTGATCGGCCTTCTTCTTCGGGTCCTCTCTTGCCTTTGGAGATATTTCTCTCCACTTCGTCTCAATCTTCTTTGAACCACCTCGATTACTTCTTCGTATTGTCTGGGGGCGGTGTCTTCCCACGGTCTTGTAGGCATTGTTCCTTTCATTATATATAAAGGCGTCTCTTTGGTAACCGTATTTGGTGCACAATTCAAATACGTCTAGATCTCAAATACTTTTCTGTCCCAATGTCGATGATGTTCTTCAGCAGCAATTCGTAGAAATTTTGTGAATTCTTGTATAAAACGCTCCGATGGGTTGCTCTGTGGATGACGGATGCTTATAAATTTTGTATTGATACCTCTCTCTCTTAATTCCCTTTTAAAGCGTTCATTCCTAAAGTATGTCACATTGTCCAATAAAATATTGTCTGGTCTTCCCACTGTTTCTATAAAATCGTCTATCTTCCGAAATATTTCAATTCCTTTCGTGTTTCGACATGCGAACAATTTAACATATTTTGAGAAAAGATCCACCATAACTAGTATGTGTTTATTCCTTTACGTTGTTGGTATTAAATCGCTCAACATATCAATGGCGACAATATCCAGTTTCTTCCGTGCTACGACGTTTTTTGTGACGTTTTCATTTTTGAAGTTCCTACTTTTACACTTTTGACATGTCACACAATTTCGAGTCACCTCGTAATTGTATAGTGATGTCGACAAATGTAGTTCTCCCTGAACATAAGCCACACCTTCCTGCTTCCAATATCTCCGTTGTCACAGTGTAACTTTAAAAAAACTTCTTTTGCCATCTGCTCCGTGATTACATATAGTTCTTTACCATCGACCCTCTTAAAATATAAGTTATCTTCTTGTTCAGCCCTTTGTTTTTCTCTTTTATCCAATTCTTCCTGATTTTCAATGATTTGAGCCAAAGAAAATAAGCCTGGTTCTTCTCTCATTATGTTCATGCCTACGTGGAGAGTTTTGTGATCCTCTATCCCCTATTGTCAGTTCCTTCGATATATTTAAATTCAAAATCATATTCTTGAAGTAAAAGAATGCCCCTATGAATTCTATTATCTACCAGCCTATTTTTCATTATGTGTACCAACGCTGTATGGTCTGTTTCAATGGTGAATTTTGCACTAAGTAGGTAAAAACGTAATTTATTTACACAAAATAACACACTGGCAAACTCTAATTCCGTAACGCTGTATTTTCTCTCATACGTTTTGGTTACACGGGAAACAAAACAGATTGGCACCTCTATATCGTCTTAGGTCTGTGATAACACCCCTGCAATTTTTTTATGGAAGCATCAGTCCTGAGAATAAAAGGTTGGTCATATCTTGGGCGGTGCACTATGGTTGAATAAAAAAACATAAAATTATTATTATTATCTTTTTTGTGTTAGCTATTTTAAAGATCCAGAGAAAACCTTAGAAGTAAGAGAAAAGGGATATTTCCGAACTGGAGACATAGGTATGTTTGATGAATTCGGATGGTTATACGTTTTGGGAAGATTTGAAGATATGATTGAATTTGATGAATGGTCTTTGAGTCCCATGGATATTGAAGAAGTGATCTTACGACATCCTACAGTAAAAGATGCAGTTGTTGTTGGAAACGCTAAAGAAGTTGTCGCACTGGTAAAAAAATATCCTGATGCGAAATTTGAGGAGTCCGATTTAACACGGTAAGTCTTAGTTCTTCTGTAGGTAACTTATTTTTGTAATTTTAATTTTTGCAATTTTACTCCCTTGTAACAGTTTCTTCTTATTGTCTTTTTATTTGTAACACTGGTAACAACAGTTTTAAAATTTTCTTTATGTTTCCAATTTTAAAAGTTTCTTATCATTGTTTAACAACTTTTATAAGTTAGGTTGAAAAAGTGAACTTGGTACAAGACAAGTTTTTATTTAAAATATCTAGATCAACAAATTACAGTTTTGGCTTATTTCCTAGATCACGTCAAAACCTGTATTATTTTAGAATAAATGAATCTATAAAAGGATAGCATACTATAAAGAAAGTTTAAAAATTAGGCGCTTTTCTTTGAAATGGTTTTAGTCTGGGATCCGAAGCCCATTTTCACCACTTATTGCTAACAAGTTAATTTTTCGTAAGTAGCTTCATATTGTCGAGACGCCCAAGTTTTCTCCTTACAACATTTTGCATTTGGATAATAATAACCCGTATTATGATAATTTTTCCACTCCCGTTTATTTTGTCCGTCAAGTATATTGTCTGAGAAATAGACCGTTGGATTTCCGACAAAGTTCGTCCACGATTTTATCCCTTATGCCTTTGAAAGTACTGAAAGATGAAATCAAATTGGTAATACATGTTGTTCAGCAGTCAACAGTGCAAGAGCCGTCCCTGCACGGGCCACAGGGCGCATGCATCGAACACTAGCGACAACGACACCACGCGTAGCTGTCAAGCAAAAATAAGACATTCTTTTTTGGTTTTGTTAATTTTAAGCTTTTATAGGATTAATATAATAAAAAGTGTTACAGTCAGAATAATTATTTTTCATACAAGAAATACAGTCCACAAACTTCTGAAGGCTCAGAAATAAAAACTTTATTCATGGTCCTTCGAGCCGGATTTTATTAACAAGCAACAAGTGTTAGTGTATTTTTTATCGGCAAGTGAAAAAGTTAACATGGCATGGTATATGGTGAGTACACATTTTTCATTCCTATAATACCTATCCTGGAATAAGAGAGATATTAATTTGTGTCACAAGGTTATTATAATTTCGTTTTGTTAGGATTTATTAATAGCAAGCTTTAAACTTTATTGATATTATACATAGTCGATGCAATGGATCAGTTAACAGTTTTAAAACGAAAGCGTGGTATCTTTAAGGCACAAATTACAAAATTTGATTCATTTATAAGCAGTTTTACTCACGATAAAATAGTAGAATTACAAGTTAGGGTTGACAAATGCAAAGAATGGTGGAATGATTTTGATCAAATACAAAGTGAAATTGACTTATTGGACACATCAGAGGAACAATTACAAGAAAGGTTAGATTTTCAGGATGCATATTTTAAACTAATAGCCTCTGCAGAAATTATATTAAAGAATGAAGTTAATTTAAACGATACTATAGCAAACTCAGGTCACAATACTAGTTTAGATCGAAATAGCTTAAAAAATGTACGGTTACCACCACTGGAGATTCCAACTTTTAATGGTTGTTATCAACATTGGTTAGAATTTAGAGATAGTTTTACTAGTATGGTCATAGAAAATTCTGATTTAAATGATGTTGACAAGCTTCACTATTTAAAAAGGGCTTTAATAGGGGATGCCCAGGATGAACTGGAGCAGCTAAAAACTACTAGCAAAAATTTTACTATTGCATGGCAACTTTTATCTGAAACATATGAAAAGAAAAAACTTATTGCACGTGGTCATATTGAAGTCCAAAAATAACTCAGGTAAATAGTTTAGAATTAAAGAAATTGTCAGGTTGTATAAAAAGAAATTTAAAGTCACTAGGTATGTTAGGTTATCCAGTTGAACATTGGGATGTTCTTTTACTTTGTACCATAGAGAAAAAGCTTGATTATTACACAAATAAGGAAGGGCAAGAAAAGGGTCCAGTTAACGAATTTTCTACGATACAGGAATTCTTAGCATTTATAGATCATAAAGTACAACACTTACAAAATTCAGAAGGGGATAAACAAGATATAGAGCAAATATCAAAGGAAACAAAAAAAAGGGTGCAAAAAATGACATTATCAAAGTCATTCATTGCAACGTCCAAACAATGTGCACTTTGTAATTTACCGCACTATTTTTATTCATGTAAAAAATTTCATAATTTATCAGTGTCAGCTAGAAGACAAGAGGTAACAAAATCAAAAGCATGTGGGAACTGTCTAAAGGATGGACACTTAGTACAACATTGTACATGGGAAGGTTGTAAACTTTGTGGAAAACGACACAATACTCTTTTACCTATGGATGGTAAATTTATAAACAATTCTCATTTACAAACAAATGCAACTCAACTCAACGGATCAAAGGTTGAATCACAAATTTGTGGTATATCTACCCAGAAAGAAATACACACACAGGGAAATGGCATATCTAATCAGGGAAAGGAAGTACATATTCAGGGACAAGGTGCATTCCATAATAATTCAATGGAAGGTACATCTCAATTAAACTTTTTGGGTCAGACAGGTTTTTTGGAATCACATTCGGGTGATATAGGTCAGACAGGTTTTTTGGAATCACATTTGGGTGATATAGGTCAGACATGTTATTTGGAATCACATTCGGGTGATATAGGTCAGACATGTTTTTTAGAATCACATTCGGGTGATATAGGTCAGGATTCAATTAATTTTTTAAATCATTCTAAGCAAGGTATATCATACAGATTAAAAACTGATATTTTACTTTCAACGGCCTTAGTATATATGCAAGACAAATATGGAATTTTGCATGAATGTAGAGTTTTATTGGACTCAGGTTCACAGTCAAATTTTATATCACGTTCATTTTTTGAAAAATTACAATTACGGGCAGATAAGGTACACATTCCGGTTAAAGGTTTAGGTCAAGGTATAACAAACATTTCTCAGGCATTAAATGGGACACTTTTATCAAAGTTTAGCAATTATCAAACAAATGCATTTTTATTGGTAATTGATAAAATTTCTGACAATTAACCAACTTCGGATTTAAACTTGGATTTTATAAATATACATAAAAACATTGTACTTGCAGATGAAACATTTGGGGTTTCAAAACAAATTGATGTATTACTGGGAGCATTAGTTTTTTGGCAATTATTATGTGTGGGTCAGATAAAACTTGGCAAAGATCAACCAATTCTCCAAAAAACTAAGTTGGGATGGGTTATTTCAGGGCCAGTTAGTCAATCAATTAAGGTTAGCAACAATTCAGTGGTATGTAATTTTTCGTCTAATGTTTTGGAAAACCAAATTGAAAAATTTTGGTTAATAGAAGAATTTGGTGCAAAAAAGGTTATGTTCAAGAAGGACATTTATTGTCAAGAGTTATTTGAAGCTAGCACGATTAAAAATGAAAACGGTCATTTTGTTGTTAAATTACCAACTAGGTCAAACATTTCTGACTTAGGAGATTCTTATAGTAATGCACTAAAAAGATTTCAATTATTGGAAAATAAATTAAATAAAAATTTAGAAATGAAAATTAAATACCATGAGTTTATGCAGGAATATATCCAGTTGGGTCACATGTCAAAGGTTGAAGATAAAACTGACTTCAATTCAGAAACACCCAACTACTATCTTCCACATCATGGAGTTTTAAAGGAAACGTCTTTAACTACAAAATTAAGGGTAGTATTTGATGGATCAGCTAGAACTGACAGTGGTTTGTCATTAAATGATGTTCTAATGGTCGGACCAAAATTACAAGATGATTTAATATGCATTCTTCTTCGTTTTCGGAAACATAATGTAGTTATAGCTTCAGACATCGAAAAGATGTATCGACAGGTTTTTGTTTGCAAAACTCAGCAAAAACTACAACAAATATTATGGAGGTTTTCGGATGAGCAACCAGTTGAGACATACAAGCTGAAAACGCTAACATATGGGACCGCTCCAGCAGCATTTTTGGCTATAAGAAGCTTACAACAATTAGCTCATGAGAATCAATTGAACCTGCCTCTAGCTTCCCAGGTGATTTTAAAGGATTTTTATGTTGATGATTTGCTTACAGGGGGTAAGTAATTGAAGAAGTAAAATCATTAAAGGATGAATTAAATAATATTTTGTGCACAGCAGGATTTTCACTTAGAAAATGGGTATCAAACAAACCTGAAATTTTTGATGAAGATATTCAAATAAAGGGAGACATTGAACATTATCTTGCAGATGATGTTACAACAAAAACATTAGGGCTTTATTGGAACTCAAAGATAGATTCGCTTCAACATAAAATCATTTTTCTAATTACACAAAGGTTAGCAAAAGAACAGTTCTGTCTTTAGTTTCGTAGATATTTGATCCTCTTGGACTAGTAGGGCCAGTTATAATTAAAGCTAAATTAATAATGCAATCACTATGGCAATTAAAATTAAATTGGGATGAGTCTTTACCTTTAGATTAACACACAGCTTGGAACCAGTTTAGGGAATCAATTGCAGATTTGGAGAAAACTCACATTAGTAGGCAAGTTTTGTGTTCTAATCCAATTAATAGACAATTACATTGTTTCAGTGACGCTTCAGAGTCTGCTTATGGCGCAGCACTCTACATTCGGTCACTGGATCAAGGTGGTTCTGGCTTAGTTACACTTAGTGTTTACTTGCTTAAAAACAATATCTTTGCCTAGATTGGAATTGTGTGGTGCTTTATTGGCTGCCAAATTGGCATCGGAGGTTATCGCAACAATAGCTGTTAGCTTTGATGAGGTACATTTTTGGTCTGATTCAATGATAACTCTTTATTGGATTTTGGGTGAACCGTCACAATGGAAAACCTTCGTTGGAAATAGGGTGTCGGAAATACAAAGGCTTTCTAATGGATATAGCTGGCATCATGTTGACTCGCATGATAACCCAGCCGACATAATTACGCGCGGATATGAACCAAAGTTATTAAACACTTCAAAATTGTGGTGGAATGGGCCACCATGGTTAGCTTCTCAGAAATTGTCTTGGCCTACTAAGGCTTTGTCAAATTCACACATTTCTATCATACCTGACCAGAAGGTAATTCAAACATTTATATCAACTGTGCAATTTGCTGAAATTTGGAACCGATTTTCCAGCTTAGCTAAATTGCAGCGTGTTTTTGCATATATACTTCGGTTTGTCACCAATTGTAAATCATCTAATAATAAGACAACGGGTCCTTTTACTGTAGATGAAAAAGAAAGAAGTTTTTTCTGTTTGGTATACATGGCACAAAATGAAGTATTTATTCAGGAAATACAAACAATAAAAAAATCAAAACCAATACATAAATCGAGTAAAATCTTTAAAATCATTAAATCCTTTTCTTGATGATAAAGGACTATTACGAGTTGGTGGACGTCTTCAAAAGTCAGAATTGTCTTTTGACCAGAAGCATCCAATCATACTCCCGAACGGCCATGTATTAACTAAACTTATAGTGATATCGTATCATCATAAATACTTGCATGCAGGTCCACAAGCATTGCTATCAATAATTCGTTTACAATTTTGGTTATTATCTGGACGTAGCACGGTTAGGCACATTCTGCATAAATGTGTTACTTGCTTTCGTGTCAAACCTACATTGCTTGTACCTCTTATGGGAGATTTACCTAAATCAGTGACTTCTGCCTACAAGGCCATTTTATAATTGTGGTGTAGATTATGGGGGTGCCTTTGAATTGAAAACAAGCTATTTACGAAATTGTAAAGTAGTTAAATGCTATATATGTATTTTTACATGTTTTACAACAAGGGCGACACATATTGAACTTGTATATGATTTAAGTACTAATTCATTCTTAAATTCATTTAAACGTTTCATTGCTAGAAGAGGTCTATGTAAAAATATGTATTCTGATAATGGAACTAACTTCGTTGGGGCAAATAATCATTTGCAGGAGTTATATTCATTTATGAATCATGCAACTGTAAAATTAAATTTTTTAGATTATTTTTCGGAACATAAGATTCATTGGCATTTTATTCCAGCTCACTCACCACATTTTGGTGGCATCTGGGAATCAACTGTAAAATCGGTAAAGTTTCATATACGAAGGGTAATGTGTAATAATAAATTTACATATGACGAAATGTATACTTTGTTGACGCAAATTGAGTCTCTCCTAAATTCCCGTCCTTTATTACCTCTGTCGGAAAGTCCAGAAGACCTTGGTGTACTCACCCCTGGACATTTTCTAATTGGAGCACTACTTGTAACACTGCCACAAGAAGAGCTAACTCAAATAAATCCGAATAAGTTGAAACGGTATCATCACCTGACTCAGATAATTCAGAGTTTTTGGGTACGCTGGTCACGTGAGTACCTCTCTTCACTTCAGCAGCGAACCAAATGGAGAACAGCAGCTGACAACGTGAAAATTGGATCATTGGTTATTATTCAAAAGGATGGTCTTCCTCCTACTAAATGGGAATTGGGTAGAATATTGCAACTACATGCTGGGACAGATAATGTTGTGCGGGTTGTGACTGTGCGTACTTCTAAAGGTGAATTCAAAAGGCCTTATGTAAAGTTAGCCGTCCTGCCAATGGATGAACAATAATGGTTATGGTTTACAAGAAGCGTTGTTTGAAAGGCAATCACTTAAGCCTTTCAAGGGGGGCGGCATGTTCAGCAGTCAACAGTGCAAGAGCCGTCCCTGCACGGGCCACAGGGCGCATGCATCGAACACTAGCGACAACGACACCACGCGTAGCTGTCAAGCAAAAATAAGACATTCTTTTTTGGGTTTGTTAATTTTAAGCTTTTATAAGATTATTATAATAAAAAGTGTTACAGTCAGAATAATTATTTTTCATACAAGAAATACAGTCCACAAACTTCTGAAGGCTCAGAAATAAAAACTTTATTCACATGTGAAAAGTGTGTGGTTTCCTAGTCAACTTCTAGTAAAAATTGAATTTTCTTTTGGAAAAAATGTTTTCAACCTTATTCATTTTTCGAATTGATAGAGTATTGATTTTATTTTTCAAAAATTTGACATAAGCGCTATTGGTATTGATAAGGGTTTAAATGGCTTTAAGTCAATGTCCGTGATTTTCTTCTTCATGCCAATTGAAAACTCTATTTAACACCAATCAATTGATAAGTGTGTATTATGCATGGGTTTATTCATATATGGCCTATATTGTTATCTTGTGGGGAAACTCTAGAAACTCTTCTAGAGTTTTTATAATTCAAAAGAGAATTTTTAGATTGATATTCAATATTAATAATAGACAATCATGTCGTAAATATTTTATTGAACACAGGCTGTTGACTTTTCATGCTTTATATATTTATAAGTGTATAATTCACGTCAAAACTAAATTTCAAAATTTTACCCTCAACTCTGACTTTCATAATTACCCGACAAGACACGGGAGGTTGATAAGCATGTGTAAACACTCCACAACTCTCTTTGAAACTAGTCCTGATTTTGCAGGATCTAAATTTTATAATTGTTTGTCACTTAATATAAGAAATGAAAACAATATTTAAACATTAAAAAATAAATTAAAAGCATGCTTGATCCAATTATGCGTTTACAACCTAAATGAATATTTTGACTTAATAAAAGACTACAGAGAATAAGGACCGACGGATTCAGAGACGCTCTATATTGCATATCTTTTTTTTTTATTTTTATATTAATCTATATTTTATTGATTTTGTTTCGTGTAATTGTCCTATATAACTTGTTGATCATGCTTTATGTACTATATGACTTGTCATATATCACAATGTGATCTGATGGGATTAATAAAGAATATTCTATTCTATTCTATTCTATTCTATTCTATTCTATTCTATTCTATTCTATTCTATTCTATTCTATTCTATTCTATTCTATTCTATTCTATTCTATTCTATTCTATTCTATTCTATTCTATTCTATTCTATTCTATTCTATTCTATTCTATTCTATTCTATTCTATTCTATTCTATTCTATTCTATTCTATTCTATTCTATTCTATTCTATTCTATTCTATTCTATTCTATTCTATTCTATTCTATTCTATTCTATTCTATTCTATTCTATTCTATTCTATTCTATTCTATTCTATTCTATTCTATTCTATTCTATTCTATTCTATTCTATTCTATTCTGTTCTATTCTATTCTATTCCTGCATTTTCGATTGTTTGTTTGAGTTATCTTGAATATCATTCAATAGCTATTCAAAGACGTGTTATTTTTATTAGAGAGTTGGTAGTAATCCGTAATTTATAGAATGTAATAACAACTGTAGAAGTAGTAAATAAAAAGTAAAAATTTCCAAACTTTTATTATAAAGATAAGAGACACTTTGTATAGATAAGTTGTTTACAAATTTATATTTTTAATTTTCGTATAGTTTTCTGATTCAAATATTGTTTTTTCAGTTTTTGTAAATCTAATGTTTATTACAATTTTCAACACAACCTTAGACTCTTTTCGACGTTTTAATATTTAAGGCGGGTATTTAAAGGTTTTCACAGCTTCTAACTCTATCAATATGTTATCGTGTATTTGAATTTTAAAATCTAGTAAGCTTTTTATTTTCACATTTACATTTTGTTTTTACATATTTACTTTTACTGTACTTTAATGACCTTTATTTGTATATTTTTTGTTGTTTTATATTTTATTGCTTTATTGTTTCTTCTAATGCAATTTTAATTATTGTTATTATTTACTTATAATATATTTAGTTAATATAGTTAATATCAGTTATCTTAAATTTTTATTAAATTTTTCTATTAAATTTTTTTCCAACTCTAACTTCAAGTAATGTCAGATTGCATTAATTGTTTTTAGGCACATTGGTGAATCATTACCGTCAAAATATTGGCCATCAAGAATTATCTTACAGGAACACTTTCCTCGCACGACTGTAGGTTCGGTTAGAAGAAAAAAAATAAGGGAAGATCTTCTACAAATTACTGTACGTTACAGTAGCAGCATGTCAATCATAAGTGAAATCAACAGATTGCAGCAATAACTAAAATTGAATCATATTTTTAGTTCTTAGATTATAATGTAAATTATTAAAGTTTTATGTATACTTTCTCATTTTTTTTCACTTTATCGTACATGAACAATCATTCGAACGCACACACACATACATACAGCCGCAAATACATATTATGCACCAAAGAACCCACACAACACGTACAAATGCTAACACAATATTGACAAACGCAAAGTTATACACAAACACACCACACACCTAAGCAAGTATTTTTATACCATGCACTGGAATAAGTGTTACATACCCCCTCATTAACTTACACTAACCGGCAAAAACAGTGGTCACCCTATAAATTTCCGAAAATAAAAATACATTGGAAGTTTTATGCATTGTTTCATATTGTATTCTCAACAATTTTTATTTTTAAAACAAAAAATAGCCATTATTGTTTGATTCCTTAGCATAATTTATTTAATTAGAAGGCTACACAAGAAAATATTGTAATATCGAACCGAATTACAAACAATAAAAATTACGATTACAAAATTGTTTAATATCAGGTATTATACCCTAAAACATCAATCACCGTTTGCATACGATTTGAAAGGGAAAGGAACAAATTTTGAATAAAAACGTGAGGAATACGTTCATATTTTTCACGAAGCATGTTTGGAAGTTCTCCAAGACTTTCTGGCTAAACTAGTTGACTTATAATCCTACAAGTTCATCCCAAAGATGTTCGACGATATTCAGATCAGGACTGCATGCTGGCCATTCTAGAGTATTAATTCTTACTGCCCCCAAGTAATTAACATCCTCTATATAACGCTGAGCATTCAAGTAGCCATTGATGAAAATAAGTTCATTTCGAGCTTCAAATGAGATTTCAACCCAAACCATGACACAACCACCAATAAACTTTCTTCTCTGGGACATAAGCTTCGGTATATCTTTCATTTTTTCGTCACCGAACCCTCTCTCGGCCATCGCCAGATTTCAAACAGAACCGCGATTCATCAGTAAAGATACTTCGGTTTCAATCCTGTATCTCCTAGTGTTGATGTTGTCGAGAAAAAATTAATCGATTCATACAGTGCCTGGGTTGTAATTTGGGAACAATATCCGGCCTTCTAGCCATTAGTCATCTTTCATTGAAGCGTTTTCTAACCGTTCTCTCACTTACATTAACATTTCGAACCTCGTGCAGACTGTTTCTTGCAGCAATTGCAGTGGAATGGCGATTTCCTTAAAGTACGGCGTGAGTATGTACCAGTCTTTGTAAAGCGTTGAAAGGCTTTCCGTACTGTAGTTCTCGGAATACCTGAATACCTAAATAAGTTTCGGATACATAAACTTGTCTCCATCTTGTAGCAATGCAAGAATTCGAACAACAGCTACTGTAGGTAACACAATATTTTAATTATTTACTTAGTTCAAATCTACGTTTGAAAAGCTAAATTTCTGTTTAAATAACTGTAATTAACTTTAATTAACTTAAAAGATAAACAACGACTACAGAAACAACCACATAATCGTCAAACTATAAAAAACAAACATAAATGATCGCAATAAATATTTAAATTGAGATGCAATATGAACACTGCATAAACTTCCAATAAAATTTTATTTTTGTAAATTTATAGGGTGGCCACTTTTTTTCCGTTCAGTTTATTTATTTTTAGCATGTAAGTAAAACTCTTGGACAATGGGGAGCCGAAGACGAAGTCCTATTAAGTTTATACAGAGCCCTAATAAGATCTAAGTTAGACTACAGATCTTTATTATATATGTGCCCCTAAAACTTATTTAAAATCACTAGATACAATTCACAACACTTCATTAAGAATATGTCTTGGAGCCTTCACATCTAGCCCTACAGAAAGCATATACGTTGAATCGTGTGAACCCCCTCTAAATTTTAAAAGACAACATCTATTAAACTCCTATTTTGCTAAGGTTTCTGCAAAACCAAATAATATATCTTTCCAACTTATTAAAAATTTTCAATTAACAGAAGCACACAGTAGAGCTACTGCCAATTCATCACTACAGTTTCTATTGCCACTCTTAGAAAATATTGACCTAAATCTCACCACCCCCATTATTCAGCCCAATACTTCACCTTGGCTAAAAATATTACCTAACTTTAACGTAAATTTGTGCAGATATAAGAAAAATGGAAACCTCCACGATACTCATAAAACAAACTTTTAACGACATAATTAATAGAGGCAAGTTTGATAATATAATATTCACAGATGCATCTAAAGACGAAGAAAATGTTGGATGTGCTGTTACGTCCACAAATAACGTACTAGCAGTGTATATACTACCCAAGTTGACCAGTATATTCACAGCAGAACTCTACGCTATACTTAAACCTCTAGAGGTTCCAATGTAGGGTACCAAAAACTTAGCGATCTGCACAGATTCATTATCATCCATAAATTCGATTAGAAAAAACTATACATCAAATCCTTTAGTTAATAAAATTCACAAAAGATGTACAGCACTTGCTAAATCAAACACTTTGGTTTCGATGTTATGGAATCCTTCACATGTTGGTGTTAAAGGAAATGAGAATGTTGACCCCGCAGCAAATGAAGCACGTCGCTCTGATCTTACAGATGAAAAAGTCCAAATGTTTCAAGACATAATATAGGACAGTTAATTCTGAACAGAAGTTTCACTAAAAATATTTTGACATTTCTGAACAGCAAGCAATACAACAAGAATGATCAAACTTTGATATAACATTTTTGATATCAATATAATTATTTGTAAGAAATATGGCACTATTCAATCACGTCCCCCACCTAGTCAACACTGGTTCCAGTGGCAAAGGGATATCAGGAAGTATTTCCCTATATACTTCTACTCGCAATGGTGCTTTTAAAAATACTTTCTTTATATTGTCGATTAAAGTGTTTACATTTGGAAACTCGAGTCCAACTTTCTCTGCCACCCTCTTTAAACCATGCGCTAAGCATGTACAATGAATCAAATTCGGAAAAACAATCTTAAGACTAGTAATAGCTTTAACCATGTAGGAAGCGGCATCGCTAACTAGTAGCAATTTTTTTTCAGAAGGTACTTGATTCGGTAAAAAGAAATTTGTCAAAGATTCATTAACAAATCAAGCAATTGTTGCATAGTTGGTTTTTTCTAAACATTTTACGCTGATTAAATACGACTTGTTGGAATCATCAGTTGAACTGTTTAAAACTCCAATAATTAAATTTGCGATTTTCCGACCCTTGGCGTCAGTAGTCTCGTCTCTCGTCGACAGATATCCACAGATATTCATCTTTTACCCGGCTTTTAATACCTCCAATAACGTCTTTGTAAGATGCCCTCACATATATCTTGCGAAGAGTTGAAGAACTTGGTACCTGTACTGTACTGACTAATTTTCAACTTTACAATATGTTCTCAAAAAAATTTGACACATCTTGCTATACAATTTATACAGTGGGATGTTGCAACTTACAAATAAATTGCAATTTAGGTATGTTTTTTGATCAGATCTAGAGGTAGCTACATTCAAACTATTTCTTGTATAGTTAAGGTTCTGTAAAATTTCGAACCAAAGTATTTCAAATGTTTTAAAGAGAATTTTATAATGATAATGATTGAGAAAAGGTGCCACATGATGTACTTTCCCATTAAAAAAAAACATAGTTATGACTGTCACCTGAAGGGGGATGACGTAACGTTCGAAATATTAATGCTATAATATACTATGGTTATTTTTAAAATTAACCTGTCTGAGCGTATTACTTACGTGCTAAAAATAAATAGGTTAATAGGGGAGGGGGTAACACAGCGCATGGCATGAAATAGTAATTTATCCATGTTTAAACTACGTGTATCTTCCTATGTCTAAGGGAAACGTTTACTTATCCCAGATTATGTCTTAAGTATCAAATAATTGAGCTCAAACAATGTCTACTTTATAAGTCGTGTTATTATAATTGGCAACATTACAATGACAAAAATTCACAAATCCAATATTCCTCTACGTCCCATTGTCAGTGCATATAATTGCCCTACACAACCATCGGCCAAGTACTTTGATATTTTGACAGTTAAGAATAACAAGACTGTCAGAAACTTGTTTTCTAAAACAAAAACACCCTTGTCCCTTTTGGAAAAAGTAAATGTCATCTATCACATACTTTTGCTGAGTGTGACTCGTGCTACATCGGTCAGACAGGGAGATCACTGAGAGGGCGTCTTACGACACTTCTTCTTCTAGTTCCATGACCGTTATCGATCGTTGGATATTATGTTGGCTACCATATTCGCTATCGTGACTTTATTGACAGCAGCTCTAAATAACGATGTAGTTGATTTTCCATACCATTGCCTCAGATTTTTCAGCCATGATGTTCTTCTTCTACCAGGACCACGATTACCTTGGATCTTTCCCTGAATAATCAGATGTAAAAGATCATATTTTTCAGGGTGTCTCATAATATGACCGAAGTATTCCAGCTTGCGTTTCTTTATTATATTGACCAGTTGTGTTGTCTGGTTCAGCCGTCTAAGGACCTCCTCATTTCTAACTCTGTCGACCCAGCTTATTTTCAGTAGTCGTCTGTATACCCACATCTCAAAGACTGTCAAGCGTTTAAGCATAGCCTCAGTTAGGGTCCACGCTTCTACTCCATACAGCAGGACAGGAAAGATGTAGCAAGATATCATACGAACTCTAAGGTCAATGCTAAGATCGTGACTGCAAAGTACGTTTCTTATTTTTACAAAGGCAGCTCGGGCTTGTTCTATTTGGCTTTTAATTTCTGCGGTTGGATCCCAGCTCTCATTGATATTACTGCCGAGATACACGAGTTTCTCTACTCTGTCCAGTGTGGCATCTCCGACTTTTATACCGTCATCATGTATATAATTTTGTTTGCTAACTATCATATATTTAGTTTTCTTAACGTTGAGTTTTAATCCATACTGATCACAAGTCTGTTTTATTTTGTTCATTAGATTTTGAAGGTCTTCTCCGCAATTGTCAAGGACTAAGGTATCGTCGGCATATCTAATATTGTTGACGGTTACTCCATTCACAATAATACCTTCGG